GCTGTTTAATGACATCCCTGACCTTTCTGGTGAAAGCTTCAGTTTGAACACCTGCAGTTTTAAATTGATAGTTTCATATCAGTAGGTAGAGTTTAACAATACAATCACAGAATACTGATGCGGAGTATATGTGACGCTACGTCGAGCTACTATCATGAAGATATCTACAATGGCAGTACTAAATGCTGTAAATCTGAATATGAAACGGAACAAAGGTATATTTCTAGTACGGCTATGCAGGGGGCTATTGGCTAATGAAGACCACCAGTTCTAGAGAGATCCTAATGTTAGTTTCAAAGAAAAGACTAGAACAGGAAACTATACCTCATCTTCTGTTTCGCATTCTATTCACGTACTACAGTAGCCATCAAACTAGTCGTAATGTGTATCGTGATATGCCAAGAAAACTCGTACGACTGTTTTGATAAGTAGAAATCTACTAACGTCCTTCTTCAAATTATGCCGTCTGGTTTTCTGATTATGACGTCATGGCCTGTCTAGCGGCGTCAGTTGAGTCGCAGAGACTGACAGCAAATGTCACTCCCATGGCCCAAACGAAACATTTCCAGGAAAAAAACTATTTAAACTCGTCACCTTCATCCTGTGCCGCAACCCACGGCTATCATAAAACTAATCTGCGTGCCTTGCTGAAGTAACGCCCCATTAGTCGCCAACCCCTACGTTCCTGCTGATGTCTTGAGGATTACAGCCTGAAATGTTGTTGAGCGATGAAGCAGCCAGAATCTCATTGCGAGCCCTCGGGGACTAACAGCGACATATTCTAATCACCTTGTTGCTCGTACCCCGTGGCGTGGGATCTAACTCTTCGTGACTGCAAATTTGCCAGCTTACTTAATTGCCGGGCTCAGTAGAATTCAAGATTAGGCAAACATGTGAAGAGTACAGTAACTCCCGGAGACAAAGTTGCCAGCGTTTTTTTTAAGTATAGCCATCAGATAAGACGACGAGCGTTCCAGACACGTTCTGCTTTCTACCGTTTTGATATATAATGAAAATCTACCGTTTTGATATATGATGAAACCTTAAGGCACTGTATAAAGTTTCAACATTCAAAACACCAGGCTTCTAAAAACATAAGATATACAATGGCAATAAATGCATGTGTAGGCAGCAGAGGGTCTGGATATAATTTACAATACAAAGCCATTCAACAGTTTGATGAGGTATGATATTAGGCTCTTTTGTGCTCATGCGCTTGGTGCGTGCTGGTACTTGGGTATCTTTCTGTTTTGTCTGGACGCCTTGCGTTGAGAAGTTGAGAAAACCAGTGATTGCACCAATGTACGCCTATAAAAGTGGTGGAAAACGAAGCCGTGAACACTTCTTTGTAGGCCATGGTGTGGGAAACAAGGTCGAAGAGCTTCTCTTCTATTCCCCTTTGCCCCTCCTGGTTGGCTGAAATCCGGTCGGGGAATTTCCATGAACGCCTTAATGGTGCGCCCCGCTGTGTAGTCACCATTACGAGTTGTTTATCGCCTGGGGGATCAACCCTCATCCGATCTCCCTCTCGCTGAGGTGAATTCAAAGCAAGGACAAACTGGCAGAGGTAACACATGGAATACGCTCGCTCCCATTACCAGCGCACCGTTACTGCATTTTGATAACAGGAAAGGGGATATCAGATTAGTCAAGGCCACAGCGTAATAGGATAGTGCACACATGTCGTTCTTTTCTGTAGAAATGTAGAAATGATTGGTTTTAACCTGTAAATGACAGCCACCCAGCAGATTCCAATCAGTCCTGAGCATTTCACATTTCTGCTCACAGTCGGGATTTGATATCCTGGGCAATCATTCAGCGATTACAGTCCCTGCGAATTGAAATCTTCAATCAGCTAGAATCGTTCGACTATGCTGCACTAAAAGGCCACAAATAGCACATTAAAATTACCGGGAACAACGTTTTAACTTCCAGGGTTCTGTAACTTGCACAGGATAAGTCACACCTTTGTAGATAGGCTAACAATGCTCATTACACCAGGACTTTTGTAAATATATATATATATATATATAAGATATAAGAAAAGGCTGAAAAATCAAGAAATATTGCAAGGTCAACTAAAAAGACAAAGGACATCATGAAATTAAATCCATCTAGATCCGAGGCGAAAGTTTGGTTAAACCGTAATTGAGCTAATCAGATTCCCGGGAATGAAGTAATTTGTCGTGCATTATCTCAGCGTCTCCCGGACGGAGATATCTGTAGTGATGACGGCAGAGCTGTGGTCTAGTCAGACACAAAGTGACAGACACGACGGTTGAACACGTCCTATTCAAAGTTGGCAGGACTTCCAAACTTCTGCTTTCGACCGACATACCGAAATGCCGCATGTGGCCCAATTACTTCAATTACTAGCCGTAGAACAGCAGGTATATATATATTCAACGGCCAAAAAATGAAAAAAAAGTTAAATCTATAACTTCATCTATTACTATCCAACAAATCATATGTAACTTTTCAAACCACATTCGTATGTGTGAGGTTATAAAGTTTCTTCGTGATTAAGTTCAAGTTTTGGTCTAAAACATACAAAGACATCCATCATACAAATCGGATATGGTGTTTGGCTTACATGCTTACTTACTAGTATTTGGCGTAGTATGTTCAAAGTTTGTACTTGAAATGTTTGTAGAAAAAAGTATCTGGATTTAATGGCAAAACCTTTAGCTTTTTTGTAGTGTTAGTCTCGGGTGAAGTAATAAAAATATACTAAATTTGCACTAAGAAATACACATGAATCCTATTTAGTCCTCTAAGACGATACAATTAGATCTCAAAGTCGATATAAATCTGCAATTAGTTGATAATATACTGTATCGTTACAATTGGCCACTTTGGTCGTTGCATAAATGCCAGAGAGACCATAATTTGACTGTTATGTCTGAGCGTTACAAATCGTTTCTGTTGAATAAGAAAAGATTTACGATGGGCGCAATAGCGCGACAACGTCATGCCATGACTTAACATGCCACAAAACATGAAAAATCCATTTACTCTCAAAACAAGGGATGCAGCTTTTGTCCGTGGTGCTGATTCATTTGTAGTGATTACCTACAGGAAATGGTTACACCAGAACCATCTTATAACCGGCAATGTAGCTAAAGTAAACCCTAATAAAAAGAGAAAGCGTAACACTGACCACGCCAGACTTCATGTAATGTACTATTTCTAGACATATTGGCAGTGCTATATTCAGCTTAATGGGCCCAAGGTGAAGCTATCAGAACGGAGATATAATAGAACGGCATTTGGCCATGTTCTTCACTGCACAGACCGAGGTCATGAATTTGAATCCCTGCCTACCCCTCGGAGATTTGAACATGGATGTGCACTTCACTGGTAAAGGTAGAGCCCCTTGATATGAACATGTTACCACAGACCCCGCGTTTGAAGGTTATCCTTGGCCTTCAACATATTAGGGTCTTAGCGCAGCTGCGCTTTATTATCTGAAAGGTTTGGAGGGGTTTCTCTTCGAATTTATCCGGTAATATATAAGGCTGCAAATATATCATCCACCCGTGTCCGTTTGCAATATGCATAACGACCAAGCGGTGAATTCTTCTTTGGTACTCATACGGTAAATCACAGTTTCTACACCACTGCAGCAAACAAATCATGATGGGAAGTCAGGGGGAATGTACAGATATGTGCAGTGTTTGGATGAAAGCACGACCTTTGCTCGCTGCTTGGGCAAAAGCAAACTGTATATGATTTTGGAACCGTTTGGTAAATAGTCGCTGGCATGCTCGCACAGGCGCGAACCTTTATTGATGAATCCCTTTTGTTCGATACAGAAGCTGCTATAATGTAAACGGTTTGCATAATTCATGAGGCGAACAAAAGCCTGTCCCGGGCCGCCTGGTGGGCGAATTACTCTGGGAAGTCGAACAGATTGGAAGGGGAGGGGGGCTGATCAATCACGTCAGACGGCTTCCCTGGTTCTCAAACAAGACTGCTGTACCCATTACTGCGCCCGCCGCAGAAAGAACGTCAGGAGGATGCTGCATGATAAATCAGAGATCTGTTTACCAGGAAACTGACTTGACAAAAGGCAGTGATACATATGACAGGGGAAGATACATGTAGGAGTGTATCGAGCTTAACCAATTATAGGAAGGAAACAGACAAAGATTGAAAGACTTAGGACGAAACTTCTTCAGAATGAAGAATGAATGAAATCTATTCTAATTATTACCACCACAGCCATTATCCTATTTACACAGTGTTGATTAAAAGCGCTGTTTGGGGTGGTCTTCCGTTACCGCATACATCCAACCAGGTCCCCTACCCCTTCTCTCATTATTTCAATGTATAGAAGAGAACATATTCCTCGTTTCCTGGAATGGGTAGTCTTCTCTTTTGCCATCGACCCACAGAAGATACATGGTATGGACCATGAGTAGGTAGAGACCATGAGTAGGAAAACCTCTCTCTCAACTGGAGGGCGCGGTGGGACCAGACGTCAAAATTCGCATGATCGATGTCCACGTAAATGGAAACAAAGAGAGATATCAACTCCTCTATGGCCTCTCTTGTCTGTACCACGACCTAGCCTGTGTACAGTGTTTGTTATATCTTAAATAAAACCTGTGACGCATTTTCTACCTCGATGAGTAGATTGACCTCGAGCTATCAATAGATTTTACTACTAACAGTAACTTTGCTTTGCATTCATGTTGACCTTGAGCGGCCAAAAGCTTTTACTACTACTTGGAAACCAAGGAGTACTCTGATATCTTTATCTAATTTTCTCTTTGCTATATCGGTAGTAGGTCAACTTAACGTGTACAAAAAAATCATTTTTACATACCAGTATTCAGAGAAATATATATTTATCTTGGGGCCGATGTACTTATTTTTCATTGTAGCCTTCTATATATATGTAACGATCATCATTGAAAACAGGTCTTATTAGTAAAAAGGTTTTGTTCAAGTCCGTTCTTACCATTCTTCTGTTTTCTTTCTCACTGTGCCCCCAGACCGTATCTTCGCCCGTGCAAAGAGCGACTACACACCTAAAGAGGAGAACGAGCTCCAGCTGCACGTGGCTGACGTGGTGCAGATACTCAGCACAGAGAACAACGGCTGGTACTTCGGCTATCTACACGGCAGGATGGGCCTCTTCCCGGCTAACTGTGTCGAAATTATCAAGTTTGACAGCAGAAAACCCAACAAGCAACCCATCCCTCATGGTGAGTTTATCACTCAAGTCTTTAGAATATTAAGAAATGGTAGGATTATTCGCCATTCCAGCACACATGTACTGGTAACAGCGCGCGCGGACGTCCGGACGCACGCACAGACATACACATCCACATCCACACACATACACAGCATAGACAAACACACACATTCACACACACCACACAGAGACAGAGACAGAGGGATTATCTCAGATTTGAATGGCGAAGTAACTCATGGGCTGACACTATGACTTTGAAAGTTTAAGGAGTCATAAGGTCAAGAGACTAAAATTTACTGATGGATGGACAATGTCTACTGAAACGGACTGCCTCTCCGCATACCATAGCTGACATTGGGGGCTTTCGATTTCAGAGATATTTCTAAGAGACACAAGTAACGTCGTGTACGTATTTTTCCTTATCAAACGTGTGAAATGACAACCACCGCATGATGTATGGGCAGGTGACGTGCCCCTACCCCTCCTGCCATAAGTCTGCGTGGACCGAGCTGACACAGAATCGGTGACTGTCGGTCCGACTCACACCGACATCCGTCATAAATAATGCGGTTTGACGGGTAACCGGTCACCGGGTTCAAACTGCTCCGTCTCACGTGGTTACAGGGGCTTAAACACAAACGTCCCCAGCGATCAATTTGCGATGTTCCTACTGGTATTTGATCTCAGTCGAAGGTAGGTTGTGACTCCTGTGATGGGCAGGGCAGGGGTATGATGGAGTTTCACATTCCCAGGAGATCGACAACAGCGATAATGCCCTCGGCCTCGGTGCCCTTTGGAAAGGGTATTTTGTATTCAAATATAGAAAGTCAGAAGGGCAAATGATCTGTTTACGACAGGAATAGCTCTCGATGTGCGTTTGAACACAACAGCTACTCTACTTTGAATGACATGGATCCAGATGAAGAAAGCGCAGGCAACTGAATTCGTAACGCGCTCATTGTTACTCGCAAACTTCTTTTTTCCGACGTTATGCTGAAAGATCCCATATCTATAAATCAGCAGCTATCTAGAGGGAATGCAATTGTTTAAGTTTGATATACATGTATCATGATATTCAACGTTTGTTTTTGAATCACTCAGTTCTTGAGGCGGGTATAGTTTTTCCTACTAATAAGCTTCTCAACATTGTCAGCAAGTATCCAGAAGCACGTCTGATTCCCCGCCTTGAATAGGCCATTGCAGGTATAAGTACCGGGACTGCAACTGATTTGCAAGGATTTGTAGTGAAGAAATCAGTGTTACAGGAAATTAATGTGCTGTTAGGCAACGATCCAAGTAAACTCACGTTGCAGGGAATCCCTACGGTAAATCAGCAGTCAAACAGCCTGAAAAGCAATTAGAAAACGTACATTATTTGCTTCAGCATCATTCCAACGCTTTGGTGATTTTTGTTTTTAACGCGTTGATTACACCTGTTCAGAAATGCATGACTGTTTTACATGCTGCCCATTAAATTCAATTATTTCTATGCTATTTCCACAGCGAGATCTGGCGTCTTGCCGATGGTATTTTAGTTCTCGCCATAGGCATAACGATAACATCTTTGATAACTGAGAAATATTGATTAATCAAATGCCTTTCTCGGCTTCCTTGATAATTCCCTATAAACAAGTCATTTATAAAATCTAAATTATTATTCTCTTATCAAAGACCCTTGGGTTTTTCTAAATATCACAATATGTAAGGTGAACGAGAACGCTTGCAAATTGACTGTTATGCCTGCAGTCAGAAAATCTTTTTTTAATTATAAAAATACATCTAGTCCTGATGCCACGCAGGAGCGCAGTAGATATGGGTAGGACAGATAAAATGAAGGTTGACTATCCAACTGTTTCTCTTCTGTATTCTGTTATCTGCAATCATGACGTCCTGCACCTACATACAGTCTTATTCATCTTCTTCTCGGAGTTTGTTTTCTGTTGTAGAAGACCCTACGTATATCCCTCTATGCAAATCGTCTATTCAACTTTTTGGGATCAAACAACTAGACCTGGCGTTTGGGAAAGGTCATGAAATGCTAGTTTCATAGTCAAGGTTTGGTGTAGAAGTCAGTTGCAGTACGTTCGACCGTTCTCTCTGACTGCAGATGCTCCGCTCTCAACAGACCCATTTGCGTTTTCCATTGCCACTACCCTACATCTGCAGCAATCTGGGGGACTTTGAGTGATATATTTCGGAACCAGAACTGAGCAGTCGGACCGTCTAATTGTCCAAATGTATGTGTGTCCCCAGATTGAAGACGACTCTTTTGTGACTGCCTTCATTAATTCTGCCAATTTTCAGCCAGTGCGCGCCTGAGACTGTCAGGAGGACGCTTGGACCGCGTTAATCAGACCAGGCAGCCCACGCAATCATACAGCCAGCTTGTTCGGCTGGTCCCTGGAGCGACATTAAGGGCCAAAGACAGAATTGCAATTCTCACATCATCACGACTAGGATTGTTCCGTCTAAGTGTGGCTCTCAATTGGGTACATTGTGCGCAATTCTGTTTACTGATAATAGACCCAGAACTGCCAGCTCAATCGCCCGCTCTATATGTTTTGGCATCTTACTTTACGGACCTTGTGTAACTCTACGTTGCCCTGTTCGTGTACTGGATGGCAAATCTAATTTTAAAGTTATGTAACAATGTCAGGAATACTCAGGTGGTCTTGTATTAGGAGTTATATCCTTTTCGCGATTTAAAGGATTTTCTGGTGTATAAATTTTTTACTCAGGTTTCAGCTTCAATTTCATGACTGCGTCCATTGCGAGAACTATATCCCTCTGTAAGCACAGAGATGTGTCTTGATGACTCCAGCGTTGAATGGTGCTCAAGCGAACCAGACGGATGGCTTGACGAAATGGCAGAAATGAGAAAAGCCTCTCCAACCAATATAACAGTAAACTAACCGTGGCAAAACAATACCCGCACGCCTTTAACGACTTAACGAAGTATTTCACGTCGGATAGATCCTTCTTGTACGGAGCCTGCGAAGAGGATTCCCCATAATGGGCAGTCAATCATCATGGAGGACGGAGTCTAATGAAAACGTTCCGAGCTCCTGGCGTCTTTGAAGACTTATCCAAGGAGTCATTACTGCTTCATCTGTGGTAATGAACCTCAGCGGCCGCCTCTAACTCATTTTCCGTGCTGAAACCACCAATTCCGAGGTCGTTAGGGGCACGTATCAATAAAGTTCGGGACGCCTTGTGGATTTCTGTGATCTCCGAGGCACGGTGATCTTTCAAAGGATATGAAATATTCCGTTGCAATTTGAACTTTACTTTTTCTGTTGTCACCCAAGTCTTCAATCTACTTCCTAGACGATATAATCAGAGGAAACGTGACTTGGGGTTACTTAGCAGGGCCTTAGGGAGATAGTAAATTGTGATGATATCATGCAGTCGTTATCATTTACCTTCCTTCATATTACAAATCAGATTCGCTGTGCTAGTACACGGCAACCATTACACGGTATTTGACCACAAACTGGCTGGTAATGTCGAATAATTATTCAATCACGTTCACCCTGTACTACTCATTGAATATTGCTTGATTAAGATATAACTATCCTGGTCTCGAATCTACATCTATTTGAATGTGCAGATGTAGGAGCGTATCTGAATGGAAGATGACTCATTAACTAACCCTAACTCATTAACTCAGAACGATTCCAAATGAGAAAAGGTGAGCTGGGAAACTAACCAAGCTTAGACTATTGTAAAGGCTATGAACACCCTTATCCCAAGAGCCTTTTGTTTGGGGAATTTTTTATGTATTTAAACTTGACTTATGCATAACTTTGAATTTCTTAATTAACTGCTCGTGTGTAATGTCAAGGGCGTATACGTAGTTCGTCATTCCTCAAAATTCAATACAAGGCCAAAGAAGCATAAAAGTAACGCAGCGTATAAGCCTGAGTGTAAGACACAAAGAGAGCCCCGTGCAGTGATTGCATCGGTATTCAAGGTACGTACAGTAGCGTAAAATAGCAACGCGCTCGTAAAAGTACTGCTCATTGCATGTTTATAGGTCCATCCTTCCCCAGACTCATAAAAAGTAAGAACTGTGAAGAGAAACATGATAAATATGACAAGCAAATCCTTTTATAAAGCCTTACTCACGGAAGGTCCAAACTCCGAGATGTGTTAGAAGAAGGTTTAAGCTAGGAATGTATAGCGTGGAGCAGAAAATAATTACAATAATATTTCAACCGGCGTAATAGTGCCTTCATTTCGTTGAACTTCTTTGGCTACAACAGGGCTGCGTGTTGCAAACAAACCTGTAACTGTATTAATTGGAGTGATTGTTAGCTACATGTCATCGCATAAGGTGTTATGCTCAGAGAGCTCCGTCTTGATCCATCACCTAGACACTGTGGAACTACGATCTATTTGTGATACTCGCCATCCCTTCTAGAATTCTGAGAATGCACAGGACAGTAATTCACGTAGGTGCAGAGAGTCCATTTTGAGCGCATCCAAACAAACTTAAAACAGTTTTTTTCTTGGTATATGCTGGTCAGTGTTGGTGTGTTCCAGGTTGGAGGTTTTGTCTTTTGAGTTTAATTTGTTGAAAAAAGGCTTTTAGGCTTGTTTGAGCTGCCCGGTAGAACTCTATCTGTATGTTAGTCTGTTTAGCTGTAGTCATAGGTTATAGGTTACGATGAGTTTGTTTTGGCCAAAAGACACGCGTTCTGCCGTAAGAAATTCAGGAATTTTGGACCAAATGAACAATTTAAGGCTCAAAATACCTTGTCAATGTGTGTTTGTCATGCTTTAAAACTCAAGTAGGTGATTTTGACAGCTTTACATCTCTTGGATGTTTACCATACTAGTACCTTAATGGAAACTCGCAATACTGGCCTGTGCCCAATACTGATCGATCTGTCAGCGCACTGGCCACACACGGGCAATTATGTCACACTGCGGTCAGTTGTACCGGCCAGCTAACTATCAAACTTGCCCTTGGCTGTGAAGAAACAGTCGGTTCCGCTAAACACTGTG